CGGCGGGATCTTCGGGACGGTCGTCGGCCTTCTGGGGGGCCGTCGCCGGGCTGCGGAGCCGTGAGAGAACACGATCCGGGGCGAAAGGCCGGTCCTGGAGGAGTGGCGCAGACCTCTCCCTGGAGGTCCGCGCGCAGCGAAGCACGCCGTCGGCGTGCCGAGCCGCCCTCGGGGGCGCGAAGACGCAACACCGCGCTTCGCACGTCGCGGCCCGTGCCGGAGAAGCGCCCCTCCCCGGGGCGGCGCGGCGCCACGGCGCGGAGGTGGCCGCGCATGGCGCATCACGGGCCGCGGTGTGCGGAGTTGGGTGACCTATGCATGGTCTCTCGCCCCCCCCCACACCTTCCCCCCCGGATGGCACCGTGGCTTCCAGCCCTGCCTCCCCTCGCCTCCTCTCGCACCCTCGGTGCGTTTTCTCGTTGGTCTCCGGTCCTCCCCTTCGCCTCCCCTCTCCCCCTCGGTGCGTTGGCTCGTGCTGCGTCCGCGCCGCTGGGGGTGTGCTGTGCTCAGTGGCACCTCCGCGGCCGCCGCGCGCCTCGCCGTGCTGCAGATGCGCGGCCGACGCTCCAGGCCTGCGCGCTGGCAAGCAGGATTTTACAAGTGGGGACACGTTCGCTTGCACCGACGCCCCTGGGGCCGTGACTGAGTGCAGTCAGCGCGCCCAGTAAGGACGCGCGCCTTCATCCAGGGTACCCTTGCGTCCTTGCCTCTGTGGCCCGTCCCTTGCCGTTATCACTGGTCGCCCGCCGCCCAAAAAATCCCAACTTCGGCCTCCAAGGGTCTTGCGTCCCTACCTCGCGTCCTTGCTATACGTTTTGACTGTAGTCTGGCCCGGGGCGGAGTTGCTGGCAGTTCGGCTCGCGGTCCGCACTGGCGCCTCACCCGCTCCCCCCCTCCTCCTCCTCCGTCCCCCGCCTCTCCGCTGATTCTGTGCACGGGCAGCGCGTGTGGGCTCAACTCACAGACGCGGTTGGCCGACCCCACGGGCCGCTCTCGTCGCCTGGGGTTCGCCTTCTCGCCGCACGGATTCGGTCCCCCGATGTTACGGGGCGCTGCCGTCCCTCATGCATCTAGCTTGCAACACATATTGGTGACTGCTTGCACCTGTTTCAGCACTTGCTTGTATTGCCCTTTCTTGCTTGTCCCGTGGTTTCGTCCTGCTTCTGCTCTTCCCCTCCCCTTCTTGCTTCCGCCTCGTGTGAGATAGAAATGTGGGCAGTTGTTCTATCAGCCGCATGACCGTCTGGGCTTCAACTTGTTTTTTGCGTGGTGTGCGCTGTTCTTACGACTGTTGTGATGTGATGCCCTATTATAATGATTTGTCGGTTGGACCATGATGTTGGGATGCACACGTTGCGCCATTGTCAGTCCCCCTCGCCTCGATTCTCTTCCTCCTCCTCCTCCTCCTCCTCCTCCTCCTCCTCCTCCTCCCCCTCCCCTCTCCCCCCCCTCGTGGCTGGTGCCCTTTTACGTTTGGCATCCACTCGAGTCCGCATGTGTGCAACATCGGCCCTCGCCCCCTCTCGACTGGGGCCGCGGCTCTGCACATCGCGCTCTCTTCTCGCTCGGCTCCGGAGGCGAACGGCCCGCGCGCCTGCGAGCCAACAGCATGCCGATGTGATTGCCCTCGTGGAACACGTGTTTCGCCTCCCCCCCCCTCTTCCTGGCCCCCCCTCCGCCCCCCCCCGTCCGACAGACCCGTCCTTCTCATTTCTTCCCCCCTGGCCTCTCCCCCCACCCGCACCTCCAGCTCAGCGCCACCGCCCTCCGCAGGTGGACGCCCCGCGGCCCCCCCGTGGCACGGCATCCCTCCGCCCTGGCCGGAGGCTTCTTCTCCCACAGCCGAGGGCCCGCGCTGCTGCTGCCCGCGCCTTCCCGCGCAGGACCACCCGCCGCCCAGAATCGATGGGCGGGCGCCCGCCTCTTCGCGGCCCCCCCCCCCCCGCGGTGGACCGCAGCAGGGCCCGCTCCCTCCCGCCATGCGGCCGTTGGGGTCGGGGGCCCTGTCGGCTTCCAGGATTGCAAAAAAACCTAGGATTGCAAAAAATCCTAAGTTTTTTTTGCAATCCTTCGTTTTTTTGCAATCCTTTTTGCAATCCTTCGTTTTTTTGCAATCCTTCGTTTTTTTTTGCAATCCTTCGGTTTTCTTGCAATCCTTCCGTTTTTTTGCAATCCTTCGTTTTTGTTTGCAATCCTTCGCCCGGGCAGGTCCTGGGGAAGGGGTTCGTACTTCCAGGGTCCACGTCGCCCGACCTCCGGGCGCACCACGTGGCAGCCGCGCACGCGCTCGACGGCCTCGTCGACCCTTAGAGCAGGCCGTGCGCGGTCGCTGCCCCGCAGGGCCCTCGTCGGGCTGCTGTCGGGGGCGCGGCCGCCGCGCAGCCGCTCGCCGTGCACGCCTGGGCCTGCGGGGGGGCGCGGCGGGGCCCGCGCGTCGGGGCACCCCCGCGACGCACATCTGGGCCGCAAGCTCGGGGCTACGAGGGAGTCCCTCCTCCCCTGCGAGCTCGTCCTCAGACCTCGAGCCCTCGGGGTTCTCGTCCACGGCACCGGCCCCCCTCGCGAAACGGCCCGCAGAGTCAAGGCTCTTCGGGCCATGCAGTGGGGGCCCATGCCAAGAAACACCCTGCTCGCCTCCAGGGTGCCCTGGGTTTCTCGGGTTTCGCCGGTTTTGTCAAGGGAAGCGCGGCGTTGCCACACCAAAAATCCATGGACGTCCTGGGGTCTCAGGGTTGGGTTTCTTGGGCCTCCACTGCAATCTTCGCACTCGCATCCTCACACTGTGCTGCGCATCAACACTGCGGCCGGCCTGGTGTCGGTGGCGCTTGCCCGCTCGGTACGCAATCTCCACGCGCCGTCCTGGTCCTTACGCTTAGGTCGGGCCTGTCCCTCTACAAAGAGGAATATTCAAAAGTAGTCAAAAAATAATCAGGGGACGATTTTTGAGTATTTTGGAGCACTTTGTGAATGTGTGTTGACATTTTTTTATGTTTCGTCCAAAATCCGCCTGTAGGGGGACACGCCCGACTTAACCTTACGCGCCCCGTATGTTTCAATCGTTGTCAACGGGCTTACGGCAGGGGTCGGAAGCAGTCATTACGGTTCTTGAGCTTCTTGCGCCACTGGAAGAAGCATCTTGCACGGAATCGGTCTCGTCCCCGCTCCTGCCCCGGGGAGGCGGAACGCTGGCTTGCCCCGCTAGGGTGAAGTCGGGCCTGTCCCGCTACAGGGGGAATATTCAAAAATAGTAAAAAATAGTCTGGGGACTATTTTTTAAATACCTGTTGAGCATTTTCAGGGCATCTTCCGGGTACTATTTTAAAAAAATACTCGTTGGGCATTTTTAGGGCATCTTCAGGGCATTTTTCATTTTTCGTCCAAAATCGGCCTGCTGGGGGACAGGCCCGACTGAACGCTAGGGGTTGGCCAGCCTTCAGCCTTCTCTGCCCGCCTCGTCCTCGCCCTCCCCTCGGAGTGGAGTCGCGGCTGCTCGCGGGGGGGCTGGCCGTGCGCGCCCCTGCCCGCGGCCTTCCTCTCCCCCCGCTCCCCCTCCTCCTCCTCCTCCTCCTCCTCCTCCTCCTCCTCCTCCTCCTCCTCCTCCTCCTCCTCCTCCTCCTCCTCCTCCTCCCTCCTCCTCCTCCTCTCCTCCTCCCCCTTCTTCCTCTCCTCCTCCTCCTCCTCCTCCTCCTCCTCCTCCTTCTCTCCCTCTCCCCCTCTCCTCCTCTCCCTCCTCCTCCTGTTTTTGATGTCATGTTGATGCTGCTGCTGTTTCTTGCTGTCGTTTCTGAGTGGCGTCCGGCCTCCGGCAGCGCTCTCGGCGCCCGCGGCGCGCGCTCGCCCCTGCTCCGCGCCCGCTTCGCCCGTGCGCGCCGCGGGGGGGGGGGGCTTGCTTCCTGGGCGCTCCTCTCCCTCTCTCCTGCCGCTGACCGCCCGCCCCGGAGGAGAAAGTATTCAGGAACCGACCTTTCTACCCAGACCCCCTCGCGTCGTGAAAAAATCACGACGGGAGGTTTTTCGCCATTTTCAGCCTTTGGGAGCCCTCACCGGACCTCGGGACCGTCAAAAAACGACTCAGGATGAAACGCCGGTCCCATGGAATGGGTCGAGACCTCTGGGGGTCTAACCGCCCGCCCCGGAGGAGAACGTATCAATCACCACCCACCAAACCACCCCAACCCAACCCGAAGACCCAAACTTATCCCCAATGTCCAGTGGGGGGGGGGTCGGGGAACATTGGAGAAACACATGGAACCCGTACCCCCCCCCCAACCCAAGATTCGATTCAAATTCGGGTCTTCGGGTTGGGTTGGGGTGGTCTGGTAGGTAGTCAATTAAGGAACCGGACTTTATACACCGATGCTTTTTTCCGGTCCCGCACGGAGATCCGCACAAGGAAGCGGACTCTGGTGTATACGGCATCCTGGCGTATACATGTTTTGTTGTTTCCACGGGAAAGCTGGGAACCAAGTATACACCACACCACCCCGACGTCGTCGTCCCCGACCCTCAAAAAGTCCTGGGATTGAAAAACCGCCTGCCACTGGTAATGTATACGTTCCAGTTTCCGAAGTATACGCGCTGCTCACTTCTCATTCTTCGCATTTGTTGTTTTTGTTTATGTTTTGTTCTGGGGGGCCATGATCTTTTCGGTTCTAATCGTTCTCTCCCGGGCCTCATTCCTGGCCACTGTAGGGGGCCAGGAGCCACCAGACACGAGCACGATGAGAAGCGAGCACGCTTCGAGGTGAACGACGTGTGTACCCCCCCGCCCTGAACCCCTGAGAGCTTCCTGTCCCCGGCCAGTACAGAGGGGCGGCAAGGCCGAGCTTGCTTTTCGCGGGGGAGAGGTCGCGTGCGAATCGAAGCTGCCGTCGTCTTCTCATGGCGAGCCGCAGGGACTCCTGAGGACTCCCAGGGATGTCCCGAGGACTCCTGGTGGAGTTCCTCGGGAAGCCGACGGAGTCCCTCCGGATCCCCGAGGAGTTCCGGAGGCATCCTATGGATGTCCGGTGGAATTCCCCAGGAATCCTGGTGGATGTCCTCAGGATTTCCTGAGGATTTCCGGAGGAGGAGGAGGAGGAGGAACAGGAGGAGGAGGAGGAGGAGGAGGAGGAGGAGGAGGAGGAGGAGGAGGAACAGGAGGAGGAGGAGGAGGGGGAGGAGGAGGGGGAGGAGGAGGATTGCCTGAGGACTCCCATGGACTCCCCATGGAGCTGCCTCCTCCGGGCCCCGCGGCCGGAGGGCCTGGGCAGCCCTCGCGGCCGCCCCGCTCCGTCGGCGGGGCCCCCGCGCAGAGGCCGTCCCTGAGCGAGGCAAGCGCGGGCGACGAGGACGCCGCGGACGAGGAGGAGGAGGAGGAGGAGGAGGAGGAGGAGGACGGCGAGAGCGACGAGAAACGACGAGGACCACGAGGCCGACGGGGACGAGAAGTCCTCCTCCTCCTCCTCCTCCTCCTCCTCCTCCTCCTCGACGGCGAGGAGAACGAGCACGACGAGCAGGACGAGGGCGACGAGGAGGACGAGGAGGACGAGCCTGGAGGGCCAGAGAGCAGTGACCTGAGCACAAAAGCTCGGGGAAGTCCGCGCGGCTTCCTCGGATCGGAGCTGTGGGCCCCCCTGGCGGCGCCTCTTCGGCGCCGCCCCACGGCGCGCCCCGCGCGCCCTGGAGGGGGGTCCAGCGCCGATCTCGGGGACCCTCGCGGACCTCCGAGCTGCTACGTTTTGGCAAGTGTGTGTGTGTGTGTGTGTGATCCCTCCTGCTGGTTCTACCCTCCCTCCTACTGAGAAACTACTGCTAATATTTTGTCATGCTTCCTTTTTCACTTGGGTGTGTGGGTTCCCCCGTGAGCAGCCCTCGCGGCCGCCCCCTTCCCTCGGCGGGGCCCCTGCGCAGAGGCCATCAACGAGCTGTACGTGGAGGCGGAGATGCACGCCGAGCTGCGCCAGTCGATCGAGGCCGCCGGTCCCGCGGGGTGCCCCACGGGGGCCTCTCGGCGGCCCTCGCCGCTCGCCGCAGGCGTGCCAGCCGGTGCTGTGCAAGCCAGGGCTTTTTGCAAAGGTTAAGTCGGGCCTGTCCCTCTACATGAGGAGTATTTTGCAATAGTCAAAATTACCCCAGTGTGACCCTACCTAGAAGTTGGAGCCCCTAGGAAAGCAGCATTAGTTGCTATGCCATGCCATGCCATGCCATGCCATGTTATGCTGCGCTATGATATGCTATGTTATGTTATGCTAAGCTGCGCTATGCTATGCCATGCTATGGTAAGCTATGATATGCAATGTTATGCTATGCTAAGCTGCGCTATGCTATGATCTGCTATGCTATGCTATGATATGTTGCGCTGTGCTATGCTGTGATGTGCTGTGCTGCGCTGTGCTATGCTATGCTATGCTAAGCTATACTATGCTATGCTATGCTATGCTATGCTATGCTATGCTAAGCTGCGCTATGCTATGCTATGATATGATATGTTATGTTATGATCTGATATGCTGCGCTGTGCTGTGATGTGCTGCGCTATGACATGCTATGCTATGCTATGCTATGCTGCGCTATGATATGCTGGGCTATGCTATGATATGCTGTGCTGCGCTATGCTACGCTATGCTGTGCTCTGCTATGCTAAAGCTCAGCGACGCTAAGATGAATGTAAGCTAAACTAAGATAAACCTGAGCTAAGATGAAGCTAAGCTAAGCTATGATGAAATAAGCTAAGATAGTATGAGATAAGCAACGCTAAGCTAAGGAGACGTAACTGGGGGAACCGCGGGGCGCATGCTGGGGGAACCGCCCGGGGCGGGTTCTACTGCCCGGCCCCTTTAAGACAGAGGGTAAGAACCCTTCTAGGCAGAGCCTAGGTAGGGAAATAGTCTGGGGACGATTGTTTGATTATCTTTTTGGCTGTGTTTGAGGATTCTCTGGGTACTCTTGAATTTTTTCGTGCAGGGTCCCCCTGTAGGGGGGGACAGGCCCGACTGAATGCAAAGGCCAGGCGCAAGAGTCGATGAACGGAGAATGCTTCGATCCACGAATGCAGTTTTTTTATGGGTGCATCGACAAGCCCTGGTTCGTGAAAGTCCCCATGCACGGGCCCTGGATGCAGAAGAGACGCGCCAGTCGATCGATCGATGCCGCAGGTCCTGCGGGGGTCTCCTGGGGCTCCTTGGCGGCCCTCTCCGGCAGTTCTCGGACGATCTGATGCCTGTCCATCCCGCCGATGTTCCTCGAGTTCAGTCCCTGGGGGCCATTTTCGGGCCCTGGGGCCCTCGATCACTGATCCCTGTCGACCACACGAATGGTGACACATTTCGAGGCGACCTTGTGGGCGACCATTGTGGTTACCATTTGTTAGTGTCGACGTTTTTGGCGACCATTTGGGCGACCACATGGCGTACATTTTTTTTTGTTGGCGACCACATGGGCGACCATAGGCGAGACCATATGGCGACCACTTCAGTGAAACCAGCTCTGTAATGGTCAGGAACGTCACGGGTTCAGCACCTCGCTGGGGCCGCGGATTGCGAATGCCAGGCCGGCGGATGTTTTTTTAAGTGTCTCATCATCCTCATCATCATCCTCATCCTCATCCTCATCCTCATCCTCCTCATCCTCCTCATCCTCCTCATCATCCTCATCATCTTCATCATCATCATCATCATCATCATCATCATCATCATCATCATCATCATCATCATCATCATCATCATCATCAATCACAATGAGATGTTTTTACGTGTCTCGGAGAAGAGCAAGCGGCATGACCAGAAACTTGCGGCGCTCTGCGCGGGTTTCTCGGATCCTGGCCTGGGGCGCTCCAGCGGAGGGTGAAGTCGGGCCTGTCCCTCTACAGGGGGAAGATTCAGAAATGGTCAAAACTAGTCTGGGGACGACTTTCTGACCGGTTTGGACCATCTTGGAGTTTTTTTACGTCCGCTTTGGAGTGCGATGGAGTGTCTTTGGGCACTTTTGGAGTATTTGTCCGTCCGCTCTGGAGTCTGGTGGAGTATCTCTGGGCATGTTTTTGGCTTTTCGTCCAACCTCCCCCTGCAGGGGGGCACGCCCGACCTGAGCAGAGGGCCTCGCCGCCCAGGGCCGGAGGAGAGAGGTCGGGAGGGGACAAACACACACAGAGACACAATTCCTCGTCGGCTTCCCAGAACATCTGGGAAGTGGGGGGGAAGACAAAAACCCAGAAACTATAGGAAGATATGGGGAATCCTTTTATCTGTGTGTATTTATGTGTATGTGTGTGTGTGTTTGTTTGTTTTCCTACGTAAGAAAACATCTCACTTGTGATTCCGACGGCTTCCGCCCGACTTCCGCCGGCGGAGCCGCCCCCATGCTGCACGCCGCCCTCCCCAGGCTCGCTGCCGCCCTCCGCCGAGGACGAGGCGTCAGCTCCCGCGGCCCTGGGCGGCGAGAGGCCCTGTGTGTATTTGTGTGTGTGTGTGTGTGTGTGTGTGTGTGTGTGTGTGTGTGTGTGTGTGTGTGTGTGTGTGTGTGTGTGTGTGTGTGTGTGTGTGTGTGTGTGTGTCTCGTGGGCCCCTTCGGAGGGCACGTCTCGTCCTCGGCGGCCGGCGGGCAGGGGGCCCGAGGAGAGGGGCGGCGTGCACGGAACGGGGGCGGCTCGCCGCGGGCGGGAGGGGCAGGCCTCGGAAGCAGCACAGCGAACAACAATAGGCCTCCTCCTCCTCCTCCTCCTCCTCCTCGTCCCTCGTCCCTCCTCCTCCTCCTCCTCCTCCTCCTCCTCCTCCCCTCCTCCCCTCCTCCTCCTCCTCCTCCTCCTCCTCCTCCTCCTCCTCCTCCTCCGCCTCCGCCTCCTCCTCCTCCTCCTCCTGCCTCTGGGGAAACGCTCTTCTCCAGCAGAGGCGAAGGTTCCTAGCTCGCCTATAGGCCTACCAGAGAATGTTCTAAGAACCTTTTGTGGTCTGCACGAAGTGTTGTCATAACATTTCTGGTTGAGACCTTCTTGTTTTAACACATCGGGTTTATGTTCTAAGAACACTGTTTTTTCTTAGAACATTGTTGGGTTCCAAGTACATCTCGTGGTAGGCCTATTGGAATGCCGGGACGGTCGGTCCCTGCTCAATCTGAGGAGGGGGCAAATACACAGACACTTCGCCGATCCCCAGGAAAGTATTGGAAAGTATGGGAAGTGGGGGGGAAGACGAAGACTCAGAAGATATGGGAAAGTAGGGGGACTCCTGGGGGTTGTGTCTAATTAGTTGTCTGTCCCAGGGCCCCTTTACATTCATGCCACATTCATCTGTCAACGCCTCCCCCTCCCCCCAATGTTCAAAGTTGGCGGTGGGTCTGATGAGTTGCACCTCGGCCGGAGTCTCCCCCGCGCGTGCCAACTTCGAGTTCGGGGGGGAGGGTGAGCGTTCAGTAATTGTTTTCCTCTACCGTCTGGCGGAAGCCGTCGGAATTAAAAATGAGATGTTTACGTTTCGGGGTTCAGGGGTTTAGGACTTCCGAAACACCCGCCACATGAGCCAGGCGGGGACAGGGTGATGTGACTCGCCGGAGCTCTGGCGCAGTGATTTTCTCGTAGCATGGACCCCTGAAGGTCTGGACCCCGCTCCCCCGGGACCCCGCGAGCCGTTCTTTGAGTTGGCATCGCTCGGACGTGTGTTTTTTTCCTTTCGGCGAGGACCATCGAGGAGCATCCTCTTGATCATTTGGCGAAAGAGCCACGCACGAAGCCGACAAAACACACAGGAAATGGACGTCCTAGCGATGGCCAGTTGACGGCCCCGGTATCGCCGATCCATCGGCGATGCATCGCCGATTCAAGATCGATGTTTAGCCCTCCTGATCCTCCTCCTCCTCCTCCTCCTCCTCCTGCTCGCCCTCCTGATCCTCTTCCTCCTCCTGCTCGCCCTCCTAATCCGCTTCCTCATCCTCCGCCTCCTCTTCCTCCTCCTCCTTCTCCTCCTCCCTCTCCTCCTCCTCCTCCTCCTCCTCCTCCTCCTCCTCCTCCTCCTCCTCTCTCCTCCTCCTCCTCCCTCTCCTCCTTCTCCTCCTCCTCCTCCTCCTCCTCCTCCTCCTCCTCCTCCTCCTCCTCCCTCTCTCCTCCCTCTCCTCCTCCTCCTCCTCCTCCTCCTCCTCCTCCTCCTCCTCCTCCTCCTCCTCTGCGTGGCCCCTCGGCCCCTCGGGCCGCTGCCCGGCGCGCGGAGGACTTCGACAACTTCGACCAGATCGCCCTGGCCCAGAAGATGGAGAAGCACGAGCTCGCGGAGCGGCGGCGAGGGGGAGGGAGGAGGGCGAGGGGAAGGAAGGAAGGAGGAGGAGGAGGAGGAGGAGGGGGAGGAGGAGGAGGAGGAGGAGGAGGAGGAGGAGGAGGAGGCCGGGGAGACGAGGAGGAGGGATGAGGGAGGCACGGAGGAGGGGAGGATGGAGGAAGGAGGAGAAGGACGATGAGGAGAAGCAGATGGACACGGGAGGGCGGAGAAGGAGGAGGAGGAGGAGGAGCATCAGCGCAAACCCAGGATGCATCGACGATGCTGCACCGTGCCCACCCGCGCCAAGCTGCCCTCTCATGAATCATCGAGCCCGGACAGGACTCCTTCTTCACTGCGGGAAGTGTTGAAAGACGAGCGCCCCATGGTCATGCAATTCAGGCGAGAGCCCCGTTTTCAAGAGGACCGGACATCCATGCTTCTAGCCGTAGGGACGGCGGTGAGATGGGGCCTTCAAGGCCAAGGACGCGTCAGGCGGGAGGCCTGCTCTGAGAACATACACATCGATCGTTTCTTACTCTTCGAAAGGTCTTTGATTTTTTTTGGGGGGGGCAAGATCTTTTCGTTTCCAGTGGTTCTATCTTGGGCCTCTTCCTGGCCACTAGGGGGCTGGGAACAATCAGAAGCGAGCACGATTAGAAGCGAGCACGATTAGAAGTGAACGACGTGTAACGCCTTCAAAGGGGATCAGAGCTTCTCCCCGAACGCGCGGTCACAGAAAACTGCAGGGGTCTCGGGCGGGGCCCCCCGATCCGAGAGGGCGCCGCCCTCAAACCGTGGGCGCAGGTGTTGCCCCGGCCGATCTCCCGATGTCTTCTGTGGAGCAGAAGGGTCACAGCCTCGGGGGCGGACAGAGCCCCCAACAGTGACACGTCGATTAGTGAGTTGTCCGTTGTCGGCTCTCGAGGGGGCGCCGCGGCCGTTATTTTCCAGGCTTGCGCCCGCCAGGTTTGGGCCTCGGGCCGTTTTCACTAAACCACGTTTTACTAAAGGGCGGTCTGTCCATCCCCGACAGTCGGGGCGCTGAAGAAGGAACCCTTTTCGTTGGGGAGGGGCTCCGCGTTCCTTGATTGTTTCACAGCTTGCCTCTGGTGTTCCTCAGGCTTTCGAGGGGATATCGAACTTGAACCGATGGGAAAACAGGGCCTCGTTCCTTATGTAGGGTTCCTTAGGTCAACGTCCCGACTGTAAGATGGTGTCGAGCGAGAGGTCGATTTTGAAAACGGCCCATCTTTGCCATCCGCGTGAACGTTGGAACTTCTCACATTCTGCAAAAAGGACCCCACGTCCGTGTACTCTTGCGGATTTGTGGGGCCAATGAGCGCGGCGTTGAGGCAGAGCCACGTTTTGAAACGACCTCCTTCGCCCATGTCACTGCGGGGCGCGTGTAAGACGAAGGCGTTCGGCGCTCAGGCGAGAGCCACATGTTGAAAACGACAGCCCTCCATCCATGTAACAGCTGGAAGTTGTTAAGACGAATGTGCGCGGCGCTGAGGCGAGCGCCACAATTTGAACAGGACCCCCCTTCCACCAGTGTAACTGGAAGCTTGTAGGACGAATGCGTGCGGCGCTAAGGTTTTTGCAACTATTTGAAAACGACTTCCCCCCACCGTGCAACTGCTGGGAATTCCAATCATCGAGGTCATAGACGTTGGGAAAAAGTCTCTGACGAAACGCCCGGCCCACCCTTCTGACACATTTGGTGGTCAGACGCAGGAGGGGTATATATATATATATAAAGATGTATATTCATATACAGATGTATGTAAGGATAAGGCGTGCAGGAGAGAGGAGGGAGTAGGAGAGGAGGATGAGGAGGCGGGGTGAATAGGGCGGAGGGTGGCGGATAAGGATGCAGAAGCGGTTGGACTGCAGCGCTGGTGCAAGCACTGGCCGGTCAACGATGGGCGGCACGCAACGCGTGCAAGATCTGCATGCTTGCTGGCACGCCGTACGGGCGCCAAGGGAAACCGACCCCCGAGCCGAGGCCGCCCGCCGAGCACACCGCGGCAGCACGGCCCACGGCACGACACACCGGACTCTACGAGCGGGAAGGCCATGCAGGCGGGAGGAGGCGGGTGGCAGGAGAGCAGGGCTGCAAGCGGCAGCGCGCGTACTGCACGGACCGCGTGTGGCAATTAGCAGAGGGGGCGCTCGCGGGCACGGCGGAAGCGAGCCGCCCGCCGCGCTGGCCTCTCCGCGAGGAGGTCCCCGCCAGCCCGGCTGCCCTCCGCCCCGTCCTTCTGGGCCCTGGATGGGG